ATCTATCAACCTTATGGCCCATCTCATTGCATCCATAGCATCTTCTTGTTGCAACTTGGGCTTCCTTTCTTGCCTCTTTGTACATTGGGCATTTCTTGGTAGGATGCTCCAATTTCTTGCTTATGAGACAAGCACTTTGTCCATCACTCTTCATTTGGTTGGCCAACTTGTTTGAGGCCTTTTGTTCGGCCACTTCACACTTGTCGGCCCAACTCTTGTGTGGACACATAGCCAACTCATGTCCATATAATCCACAACCATAGCATAACCCTTTTCCATGTTTCTTGCTCTTGGTTGTGTTGGCCTTGCTTGAGATGTGATTCTTTTGTTGGGCTTTGGAGGAAGCAAGGTTTGAACCCTTCTCAAGCTTCTTCACCATGTTATCACGGTTATCTTGAGAAGGTTGTGCTTTCTCCTTACCCTTCAACCGAATCACATCTTCCTTTAATCTTTGCACTTCTTCTTTGAGCTCTATGTTTTCTATAAGATTTAGCTCAATCGAAGATTGGCTTGCTTGAGGAGCACATTCATTAGTATAAGAAATATTTAATTGAGATGGTGTACTAGTGAGTGAATATGTGAGAGGTTGAGAAAATTTTACCGATGTGACCATAACCTCATGAGCCACCTCAAGCATAATGCTTGATTCTACTACTTCCTCATGAGAGCACTTTAGATGAACATAGTTTGCTTGTAGCACATTATACTTGCTTGATAGTTCATCTAGCCTTGCCTTGAGCTCAAAGTTTTTCTTCTCTAGTTGTGAAACGCTAGAAGAGGAGTTAGTAACTACAGCATGCTCAATTGATAATTTTTCATACCTTTCACTTAGAGCCTTTAGTTCTTCCATCTTGGAGATGAGAAACAATTCTTGCTTTTGAAGTGATTGCTCTTGCTTCTCAATCTCTTCTTCAAGATCATCATTCTTTTCAACTATCTTCATGATGATGAACTTGTCTTTGCGGTTGAGATGATCAAGGTTGTAGTTGTCTTCAACTTCAGCATCACTCTCATCTTGATCATCTACTTGTGCTTTCTCCTTTTCTTGATCTTTCTTGTTACTCTTTTTCTTGCTTTTCTTGGCCATGAGACACAAGTGATGAGTATCATGAGATACTGAGGTTGACTCATCACTTGGTCGCCACCGAGCTTGAGCATCGTTGCAAACAGCTGCTTGCTGGTCTGCTGCCTCGGCCATACCGGACACGTCCGGTAGGTGTACCAGACACGTCCGGTATGTGCGGGCAGACAATAGGTCATGCGCTGCTTGCACTTCTTGCTCTGGCTCGGCGCTCTTGAGGTCTTGTGAGGCTTCTTTGCTGTATGATGACACAATGGACATACTTTCTATTGACTCGATCTCAAGTGCATCATCACATTTGGATTTTCTATATAAATCAAAAAGTCTAGTCCAAATAAGATGAGCACTCTCCGGAGGTGGTTGTCCATTGAAGATTGCCTCATCTTGAACCTCTACACTCAATGTACTCAAAATAATATTAATAGCTTGAGCATTGAGTTGCACGCATATCTCTTCCTCTTTTGACAAATTTTTCTAGTTGCTCCAATCAACTATAGAAAGAGGTATGCTTGCATCCACAATATGCTCAACAAGAGGACTAATGCCTCTAAAAACATTGAGTACATGTATTGACCAAGGTAGAAAGTTTGAACCATCATTTTGGAGAAGCACCGGCTCCAACTCAATAGGCGTCGACATCCTTTTCTCATGGCGGTGAAGCTTTAGGTGAGAACCTCGCTCTGATACCAATTGAAAGGACCTAGGATGCCGCCTAGAGGGGGGTGAATAGGTGTTTCTGAAAATTAACACCTTTAAATGCGGAAACGATTAGTAAGGGGAGTTTTCAAAATGGAAACTCCAAATAAAAAGTAGTACCACCCCTCACAAGTTAGCCACAGAGTATACGAGGTATAAAGAATGTATCTAGAAGCTACAACCCTGCAACAAAAAGTTAGAACTGTGAATAAATATTTTCAGCACACAGCTCTAATACCGGACACGTTCGGTATGAATACCGAACGTGTCCGGTATGCACGGTTTCTGCAGATCAGCCCCGAACTTGCTCCTTTCGATTTCAATCTTCAAACCAAACTGCAGGTATCTACTAGAGATATCAGTATACACAGAGAACCTGCACAAGAGTTGGAGCAACACAAATATCAAATGAAATACGAATTGAGACACGATATTTGTTTTACCGAAGTTCGGACTCGTTTGAGTCCTACTCTCCATTGAGGGGGCTGCGGGCGACCCAGCGAAGGTCAGCCCTAGAGGATACCATGAAGGTCACTCTAGCCGGAGTCTTTTCCAACCCCTTTTCCTCTTTCCACTAAATGATTCCGAGGCGGCGGAATCGACCGTTACAAACTTCCAAAGCTACCACAATCTCTCGGTTGCTCTCCGACGACGCCTAGTCGTCTAGGACCGAAGAGTCCAAGAGTAACAAATGTGAATCACGAGATTGACAATATGCACAAGTGCTGAAGTGGTGGCTTTCTCTCTTTTTCAAATTCTCTCTTAACCCACAAATTGATTTGGCAAGTTTGATCAATCACTCACTAAGAGAGGGTTGGGAGAGTTGGCAAGGCTCAAAAACGTGTGTCTATGTCAGTAGAATCAGCAGCCTCCAAAGGTGGAGGCTTGGGGGTATTTATAGCCCCCTTTGGAAAACTAGCCGTTTTATAGCCGTTGCAATACCGGACACATCCGGTATGACTTACACTGCGCCAACGGTAACTAAGTTACAGTGAAGTTGTGAGGCGTCGGAACTCCTGATGAATGCTGGAACTTCCGACCGTCGGAACTCCCGATCCTCAGCACATTTGAAAACATCGTAACTGAGTTAAAGTGTGTGAGGTGTCAGAACTCCCGACGTATGTCGGAACTTTCGACCATCGGAACTCCCGACCCTCACGACATTTGAAAATTAGTCGTTGGCCTCTGGTCGTCCATACCAGACACGTCCGGTATGACCACCACAGTGAATACTCTATTTCAGTTAAATTGCGAGACGTCGGAACTCCCGACCTTTGCCGGAACTCCCGACGGTCGGAACTCCCGACGAACCAACCTGAGAACAACAATTTTACAACTGCTGGGTGAATACCAGACACGTTCGGTATTGCTAGACCAGCAAAAACAAAGTAAGCTCTTTTGTCGCTCAAATACTCAAAACTCACATGGGTTGGCTTGAGCACTTATGTAGCATTATCTATCAACATGATGCATCCCTCTTAATAGTACGACATTCCTATTAACTCAAATTCAAATGTATAACGAATTTAAACCTTTTGAGTTGTTCTCTTTCAACCGAAGCCGTGTATTCCAAACTTCATCAAGTGAGGGTGCTAACATGTCAGCTTTGATCTTTTTCACTTGAGCATAGCCATCTTGAGCACGTGACTTAATTCCATTCATCAAATTTGAATAATCCCAAATGTATCAAGTCACTTCCATCAAACACTCCAACAGTGATTTGATCCTTCACATAAACATGGCCATCATAGCTTGATTAGTACCTCGACTAAATGCAAGTACTTCCTTCTTCACCCTAGCTAGATTCTTCGGCTGCCAAACCGTCGCTTGCCCTTCACCCTTACTTAGTACCTCAAAGCCTTTTCTTGCTATCTTCACCATCTCAAGCCATCAAGTCACATCTTGTGTTGAATCATTCATTCATGTATTGTTATCTTTTTCATTTCAATTTTAGCAAGCTTCAAATATGAGACCATTCCATATGCAAACCCTTATGTCTCATTAATTAATTCTCATAGGCTTGCTTTTACATAGTACATGAAAATCCCATAATAAACAAGCCTTTGCATGAATTCCATTTGTATTGTTGTCTTGTGCTTGAACTAGATTGTTTATACAACAACACATCATTTTGGCTTTCATTAAGTACCTGTGAGATAACCTATTACCTGTCCACACTTAGCAAACGGGTTAGACCTTTAATCACGTTGTCATTCAATCATCCAAAACTCACTAAATGGCTAGATGCACTTTCAATAACTGCTAGTACGGACGGATGAGATCATCTGTAGAAGGATGCTTGTTGGTGTACTGGCGTCGTTTCACAACAGTTTCAAGTATTTCATCTGTATTCAGACGTATGTTAAGTGTTACATCTTGATGTTTTAAAAGTAGATCGAGATGTTGTACATATTGCAATAGTGTCGGTGGCTGCCGGACAGCGGCCAGCCGCCGGGCCTGCCACGGCGCCCTGTCCTCTCCTCTTCCTCCCCTCCCTTCCCTCCATCTTAACGTGGCAGATCAGGCTCAACGAGCGCGATGACACGGACGCCCGACAAACGAAATGACCGCGGAGGTGGTGGCCCCACAGCAAGCTGAGGTCCACGTCGTCCGCTCCTACACGCGGGAAACAGAGCAGCCACGAGCATCCGGACGCGACACTTGTCCTCCCGATTCACTTATATATACGTTATGTCTGGATACATATAAATGAGTATGTAGAAAGGTCAAAATATCTTGTAATTTGGAATGGAGTATTAGAAGAGAAATAAGATGATGGACGCTTCATTCCATTCTATATAAAAAAACAAATAAAAAAGAGAGGAATAGATCACTCTGTTCCCCAAACCAAACACGGTATTAGTTTATCACCCATCAATGATTCAATACTCCAAAAGCCGTTTGTACAGGAAAGTTAGGGCAACAGAACACTCCTGCTACCCGTAATCGCAGAAAATGGACATAAAAACGCTCAACACGACAATAAAGCTCAAATGAGCCATGGAGGAACGGTTGATTTTTGCAAAGGAACTTTGATTTTTTAACTCATTTAGTATGTGCTGTTCGAACAGTTACAACTGAACGCAGCTGCTGAAATCATAAGCTCACTAAATTGCAGTCCGAAAGAAAAGCAGTTTCTGAGCTAGGGCACTTCATGCAAGTGATTGTTTAGTTTTCCACGAAAGGATCCTTCAAGTCCACCAGAGGTCATTGTGTAGGGGTACTATCGTAGCCGCTTGCAAATAAATTCATATGGAGGAACTTTGTCAACTGCAACAAGGGTAAGGCAAGGAAATCGCATTAAGTCGTAAGCTGCATGCTCAAGTTAATAGATCAACTACACTTCAAACCTAGGATGAGAGTAATAACAAACGTACCATTTCCCCAGCTAACCATTGTGGGTTGCGAAGCTAGCATCTTCCTGGCAAATGTTGCAACATCATCTAGAGTAATTTCTTCCATACATTGAAGGAAGTAGTCAATAGGCTTCCTGTTGTTATGGCAGCAAAGCAGAAAAAAGGATCAATAGTTTAATACACAAGCGCAATTAACACTGAAGTACCTAGCATACAGACTTACCTGCAACCATAAGATAACAGCTGCCTTCCAATATCTTCTGCAACAACCACCTGCAGTAATGTTAACAGAGAATGACAAGTCTTATTAAGAAATACCTGACAGGAAACAGGAAACAGACCAGGGATTCATGATTACCCTAGATTCAAGATTCATTAATACAGATGAAATCGTTGAGTTTTTCGCTCGTTGCAGTTCAACCTCTGACACTGAGCACACACAGACCACAAGTTTTAGAACAGGCAGTCAAAATGAATAGCCATTAGCCAAGCTTTTCAACCAAGTAGGGCATCATTCATACCTTCTCCAGGAGTTGCAACAGCAATTAATTCACTTATTGCGATATCAACAGCCTTTGCCACAAAATCTGATGGCTGGACTAGTCAAAATAGGCAAAAAAAATAATACACATATCAGAGCCCCGTACAAAGAAGAAAAGGTAAATCTGTCATGTGCAAGTGCAACAAAAGCATAGTTGCTGCATGAACCAAACCGTTGTTGTTCATGTTACAGTTGACTGCTCTAAGATGTGAAACGTATCTCCAGCAGTACTTTTCAGTGAGAAAGCTAAACAGGTATACCACCATGTTAAATAGTAGCAGGGCAACAGATGACTACTGTTCTTATTCATATTGTGCATTTTCTATAGGCTGATGGGCCATCCTAACACTAGCAGGAAGACACTGGACAGCAAAGATACATCAAGACCAACTAGTGCCCACTGGAAGTTGTGTAGGGATAAAAGCAGGATGAAAGAGCTGGCCTTAATTAGGGATGAAAATGGTCGGTAAAGATATTTTCTATACGGAAACGATTCCCCGGTTGGTCGGAAGCTCACCATATTTTCATTTTAACTAGGAAAAAGTCCATATTACTCTCTCCAGGTTTGGCCTATGTCCAAATAACCCCCCAAACTAACATTTGGTTCAATTTACTCCCTCCAACTATTTAAGTTGGTCCAACCAACACCTTAAAGAGATTTTTCTTTTTTGTTTCTCTATGTACAAATTATATTTTAGTTTCAAATTTTGTGAGGTGATAGAGGTCATTGTATTTTGTGTTAGAAAAATGCACTATGAATTTTTCATCATTATGTTTTATACGATATTGTATCTCTAGTGTTAATTTATTATTAAATTTCCTAAGCTATCAAAATAGTGGCAAAAAGTTAAGATATATTTTTCTAACATAACTTTTGATGTTCTCTATCATATCACAAAAGTTGATATTAAGACTCAACTAATACGTGGAAAAACAAAAATAACAAATCATGTTAAGGGGTAAACTAGACCAACTGAAACAGTTGGAGGGAGTAAATTGAACCAAATGTAAGTTCAAGGGGCAATATGGACATGCCAAACTTGAGGGGAGTAATTTGGACTTTTTCCTTTTAACTATATACGGTGCTAAAAGAAATTAGAAGATAAAAAATTTAAATACGGTTATGGTCTGAAGTGGTCATAAACGATATCATTTTTACGGAAACAGTTCCTGGTAAATGAAATGCCCCATTTCCATTTTCATCCCTAGCCTTAATCCCACTCAAAAATTCATAATCATGGAACACGATCATACAAAACAAATTTCTTCAGTTGAAAGAAGAAACAAGTTTAATTAAGAAAACATATGAGACACAGAACCACGCAAGAAAAGATTAGCTCACCGTGGTTAAGTAGATACCAAAGAGGCCACTGCTGTCATATACATTACTAAATGCAGAAAAAGACTCAACAGAGTTATATTTATTTAGGACACGTAGATCTGCAAAGAAACAACAATTGAGCATAGCCTTCATCAGAAATATTTCACCCACCAAAAAAACTAAGTCTCTAATACAGCAAAACAAAGAAACAAAAATATAGATAATACAACATGCGACATAATTCTAAAGTGTAGCACAGTTTTTTGAGATTTTACGCAATCTAAGTACATTTTCTAGAGCCATCCAAAGAGTTGAACAATCATCAAGTGTTCAGGACTTACAAAGCCGTGAATGCATCCCTTTTCCAGGACCACCAGAGGAGAATGAACCACCACCACCCATTAAAGTCTGCCAAATGTAATTATTGTGTATGGACATTCATGGATTAACAATTAGATAGGAAGTTGAGATCAATGTACCCCCAGCTAGAGCTAGTTACTAGAAAACTCGGAATCATTAGCTCCACCTGTATGACAGTCATAATTGTAGCGTCTCTCTCTTGAAGCCAGCCCCCTGGAACTTCAAAAGCTAATGCAACATGTGTCATCTGCATAAGACAGCGAGATGAGCAAAGACTATATCCAGTACATCGAAGTAGAACAAAAGGAAAACACCAAATGAAAAAGGGTATACATAGCCCATATAGAGTGGAAAGTTCATATTACATCTGAATCTGCTCTGTGTCTGGAATCTCCACCAACATACGTAGACTTTGGCTTTTCCATTGGGGTCCCCTTGTGCCAATCTTTCAACAAAAGATCTGCATAGCCTAGCAAGTGTTCGTGATCAACACCGGATGCTGCTAGAACCACACGATCAGCAGTAAATTTTTCCTGTTACATACATAGCATTATTCTCAATCTTTTTGTATAATAATGCTTCATCAAATTTTGGAAAGAAAACAGGAAAATAACAATATGAGATCAAAGACGTGCTAGTAATTTTGGCTTATCTATGGTATCATGAGCAATAACACATTAGCATCAAATGGTTGCAGCATTCTCTTAGTCTTATCTACAATTACAGTCAACGCATACTAACTACTTCAGTGCTGATAAGTTCTTGTGTGTTACCTGATAGTAGCAAGAAATGCATTCCAGCATTAAATTAGACAACTTGAAGAACCGTTATGCAGTATTTGTGAACTGATAATATTAAGTTATGAACCTAAATGACAAAGTACCTACCATAACTTAAATATATATATGTTCTGTGCTGCCTAGTTTAATATGATACTGCTGAGGTGTGGTCACTTCAAACTATGTACTTATTAGCAGTAAGTCGATTCTTACGAGGAATGCAGAAATCAAATGAATAAAGAAAAAAAAGGACCTTACATGATAGAACTTTTGAATAATTTTATCATTAATTCTCGCAAGGGCATCCTCAGGAGCTATTAGCGGATTCGCAAGAGCACCCGAAAATCCAACAAGGTTAAGCTGTTCATGAAGAAACTTCTCAGGGTTCTTCTGCAGCTCCTGGACCTCTTCTCGAGCAAGGACCAGCTGACAAAACAACCCGACGGTGAGTCAGTTACAAAACAGTAAAGCACCACGAGAGAGCATCCACTTCCACTGAGGAAGGAGTCCAGTCCATCACGCGTCACCTGCCGTTCGACTTCTTCCTGGAGGAAGAGCGGGTTGCGCATGCAGTCGATGAGGATCTCGAGAGCCTCTGGCATGTATCCCTTGAGCGTGTCATAGCTGTAGACCATCTGCTCCCTGGAGGCAGAGGCGCCGACGTTGGCCCCAGCAAGCTCGAGCTCGCGCACGATGTTGAGGTGGCTCCGGTGCTTGGTGTCCTTGAAGGCCATCCTCTCTAGCATGTGCGAGACGCCGGTGGTCTCCCCGGACTCGTAGACGGAGCCGGAGTTGACAAAGAAACCGATGCACGCTGAAGGACCCTGCCGGAGACGAGCTCCGCAAAGCAGCTTCAGAATCAACCCGCACTGGAGAAAATAGAAGGAACAGCGGGAGGGGAAAAAAGGTATTTTTGGGCAACACAGCGACTGTGTGCTGTGCATTACCGGGACATCCTCGGAGGCGACGCGGAGGCCGTTAGGGAGCGTGGTGACCCGGGTGGGGCTGCGGCTCAGGTTGTCGGGGAGGCACGGCGGGAGGTCCAGACCGGGGAGAGGGCGCAGGAGTGAGCCCTCACACTCGGCGAAGGCTTCAGCGGCGGAGAGCCGTCGCGCCGCCGCCGCCGCCGCCGCGGGTTCCAGTCCGCACACCTGCAGCGCGATGGGACGGGAGCGGCGAAGCGTCAGTAAAGAGGCATCGGTGGCAGGTAACAGGCGACAGAGAGAGGAGAACCGGAGGGTGGCTTACCTTGCGGAGGACGCGCGTGGCGGAGGAGCGCAGCCGCGGCAGCATCCTGGAGAGCATCGCCATCGGAGGCGACGGCGGTGGAGTTTCGCCCCAACTCCGGGGGGCGTCTCGGAAAGGCGAAGTGGTTGGTGTTTAGATTGTTGGGCCGTAGGGTTGGCTTTGGTTTTTTTTTTCTCCTAATGAGCCTTCTCCTTCTTCTATTAGGCTGGGCTTTTCGGCCCAGTACAAAGAGCACCCGTTTGGCGCGCCCTTCTTGTGGCAGGAGCCTTATCCAAACGAAGACAAGGCCGAGCAGAGGCAGAGGCAGTGGCAGGAGCTTCAGCCACTGCTTCCTCCATTGCCTCTCATGGAGGCGTCCTTGCTAGTGGCTCCCAAGCCTACCATGTCCAGGACCGCCTCTTCTATCTTCTCCGCCAGAGGATCCGCTAGGAGGTGGAGGAGCCTCGTCGTCGCTGCCACCGCCACCCCCAAGGTCGCTTGCTCTTAATTCCTGTCCTGCGAGTTCGATCCATGCCCAACACGCTCTCTTCTTCGTTCTCATGATTCTTCCATACCGACGTCCATTTCTTGTCTTGTGCAAAGCAGCAGCTCGGCACCCGCTCAGAAAGAGGCAACGTCGATGCCCCGGTCGATCACCTAGCGTGCAGCAAGCAGGCAACGACGGCGGGAGCTCGCGGCAGCCTGCTCGCCGCCGCCGCCGTGGCCGCGGCGACGACGACGAGCAGCTGCACGGCAGCGCTGCCATGTCACGCTTTATCAGCCACCGGGGCGGTGGAATCAGGACCGCTGTCGCCGTCGTCGCTGGACACCCTGTACCGCGCGGCGGCGGTGCTGGGCGACCTGGACCCGGCGACGGCGAAGGCGGTGGCGGGCGTGGCGGGGCCGGTGCTGTCGGCGTTCGGCTTCCTCTTCATCCTGCGGATCGTCATGTCGTGGTACCCGAGGCTCCCCGTCACCGACTTCCCCTACGTGGTGGCGTACGCGCCCACGGAGCCGTTCCTCGCCGTCACACGAAGGGTCATCCCGCCGCTCGGCGGCGTCGACGTCACGCCCGTCGTCTGGTTCGGCCTCGTCAGCTTCCTCAGCGAGATCCTCGTCGGGCCACAGGGCCTGCTCGTCCTGCTCTCGCAGCAGCGCTAGCGACCAATGCATTTTGCACTCGCAGCAGCACTAGCACGCACTGCATTTTGCTTTCTCCGATTCATCGATCGTGTCGTCCATTGTAACAATAGCGCGCATCATTTTATATATATCTGAGAAGAGGCAATCACCACAAAACTAGACGGCTCTGCATCAACAGAGTACTATGGTTTGCAGCTTCACATCAAACTATATGGACAACGTATGATTTGAGAGAGAGAGAGAGAGATTAATTTCCAATAAATTAGTTATCATATTGTCAACATCTACCCGGCAAGACCAAAACACTCATGCGATCCATATCCGGCAGACAAATAATCACCGCATGAAGACACTGAAAGGCAAGTAAATAAAATGGAATAAAATTCACGGAATCATAATCACCGCATAGAGACATTGGAAGACAAGTAAATAAAATAGAATAAAACGAAAAGAGAATTATAGGAAGATAAATGAATTTATTGGAATATCACCACGCAATGATCATGATCGTGATCCAAATCTCGTTCGTCGTCCTTCACGTTGCGTGTGGACAACAATTTTTTTCTCAAAAAATGAATGCCTTATGCAGGCTATGATATTGTAAGTCCGAGTATACATATTTTGAGCAAGACAGAGCATGAATAAATTCAATTCGATGCCTGGCAATAAATTTTCAGCTTTTGAGGCAACTGATGTTTGTCGTAACTTTTAGACAACAAGCTCTAAGCTTTGCTTTTATTTCAGATTCATTACGATAATGAATGTTTTTCTAGACATTATCATGGTATAATACACGTGAAAAACTAAATTGATATATTCTTGATTTTAACTTGGCTAACAAACATCCCATTCAATTTATGTTGCACCCGTTGCAACGCACGGGAACTTATCTATTTAGTTATCGTTTACAAAGGCACACTTCGTGCCTTGTCCATTTTGATACAGATCATAAATATTTCCACACGCCACCATTTGATTTCAGTCACTACGGCCAACTTATTCTGTGTATCTCGTATAAAAATCAATCAGGCTGACATACCATGCCAGGACTATGTACTATGCTATCCCACTGAAGCCTGCAGCTCCAAAGTCCCCATCTATAACCTTTCCTCCTAACACTGACTGGTGTATATTTCCTTCCTCCCTTCCGTATCGCAAAAAATTTCAAAGGGGGAGAAAAAAAAAAGAGAGAGAAAAATCCTCAACAAAAAGTAAGGCTCCGTCACACACTCTGCACCCCGAGTGGACGAGTCTCTTCATGTGCTTTGCAACTTGTAATTGCCTCCACTGATGAAGCATAAATTGGTGACAACAGTACTTTGTACAGCTGACAGGTAACTAACGATGAAAGTCAGCTGATGGCATTGGTTATTGGTGGATGGAACCAAGCTCCCACTTTCCTTCGCCATCAATGAGTTTCAGTTCCAAGGAATGGAAGGGAATCAGAGCAGGCCTCTGCAAACAAATAAGCAAACAGAGGGACTCAGTCATACGTATTCAACAAATGGGCAGGAAAGATTTAAACTGCCAGGGGCTACAGCAAGGGAACTGCCGGCTAGAAATAAGAAGAGTATGATGAATACTTACTTGTGAGGATGTGATCACTGTTATGCCCATGTTGGTTGCTAGCCTGTACAGATGCTCCTCAACGTCCACACTTGTGGCACTGCAAAGAGTAGCTTTCTAAGTACTGCACACTGTGTGGTCAAGAATTCAAACGAAAATATGAAAAACATTAAGACATACTTGGTGCATTCGTCGAGGATGCCATATTTAGGACAGTGAAAGAACAAACGAGCCTGAAAACAAAGCAGTTCCTCCCACTTAGCACAAGCACAAAGCTAGAGATATTCATTTGTTTAAGTCAATAATAAATACAGCTTAAAATTATATAGGTCTTAATCACACTGACCATCCCCAGCCTCTGCTGTTCTCCCAAGGATAGAATATCTTCCCAGTTAGGAGTAGCATCCCAATCTTCTCTTTCTAGAAGATACACCAAGCGAACATTCTCTAGAATCGTCTTCAGGTGATCATCCAACATCTTGGAAGCTGTAGACTTGTCACCTACATCAACGTAAATATACAGCGTTAAACTATACAAAGTTCAAAGTAACAACAGCAAGAAAGAAAGATAGGTGGCACCTACTTGTTTCGTATGACAGCATCTTCAACTTTGCCTCCTCATGTGAGAGAGGGTATATGATCTGATCCCTCAAGGTTCCAAGACAAGTATATGGACGTTGAGGAACATTAAAAATTCCTTCTGATGGCTTGGTAAGACTACCGGAAGCAACGGGCCACAAACCTCGAAGCACCCTAAAAATGGAACTCTTTCCGCTACCATTTGGACCTTCATCAAGGAATAAAAAACATAATAGAGATTAGAGAAACAATGTCAATACAGTGCTAAATTTAAATCAGACAAAAGCTGCAACATGATATACCAGTCACAAGAAGGCTTTTCCCTTGAGATACATCACATGACAATTGGCTAGCCAATAGCTTTTGTGATGGTGTTACAATATCCACGCCACGGAAGGAAATTATTTCTTCGGAAGTGGCATTTATAGCATCAGAAGGCACGACAGGATCTAGATGAACAGCAGTACCATATTCAGGTCCAAGCAAGTGATAACATCAAAAGAGAGAGATATAAATCCAAATTTATCATTTGTGAACTACAAATATTCAGTTACAATCAACCTGCCATACCACTGCCTACTACTACTACCACCACTAAATTTCAGTATGAATTGACACTTACTGCTTTGTGATGCCTGTAGAAGCTCCTCAAGCTCAAATATTCTATTAATACCACCAGAGAGTTCAAGGAACTTCTTGTGTAACTCAAGAATATCACCAAACGCTATGAAGCTTTGTGACACCACAGATGCCAAGAACCTCAGAGCATGTGCCAAATCTCCTGTAATTCGAAAACACGAGAGCATACTTAAAAACTCTATGCCAAAAGGAACACCACACAAAAAATGGAAGCACTGCCAAGATTTTGTTTTTAATAATAATGGAACTTTCAAGATTAATGTCAACCTTGAGTTGAAGTCAAAGCTCGGTCTCCCTTGTGCTCCAAAGCATATAACATACTCAGCCCCCATGTCACATTATGAGGAAGCTGTTTCGTCACAAAATCATCAAAAATACCATAAAGCCACTTTTTTCTCAATAGAACCTTCGAGTGGTTGAGCAATGTCGTGAATTTTGCGTCAATCATCTGTTTTTTTGGGGGGGGGGGAGGGGAAAAGTGGAATGTGAGGGCACAAAATTTTAACACAACAAAATAAATAATGCAAAAATGTATTATTTAGCATTATGATTTAAACAACAGATAAACTTTTGAATTAACTACATATACAACACTTGGTATTTGGGATTTTAAACCTTAAAGAGTGATTAAAGAAAGTATCATAAACTACCAGACAACACAATGTTCAGGGGCGACACAATACAGACATGTAATAATTTTGAGCAGCATTCATGTAGTATGGAGAAACTTACAGCTTTCTCCCTTGATCCACCACCAAAGAAGGCTATTGACTCAGCATGCGTCCGCAATCTTGAGTGCATGAACCTTAATAAAGGTTACAGGGCCAACAAATTAAAGCTTTTCAGAAGATAAGCAAGCAAACTTTGCCAGCGCTTGACGAAGTATCTATTACTAACCTGAATGTGCCTTCAAGTTCTTGTTCTTGGTTTGCAAGATCACCAAAGTCAGGGGACACAGCTCTTAGAAAACCAAGACCTAGGAACATGTAAGCATACAGTATAGCAACCCCTCTTCGCCCGGATAAAAGCTTCATTCTCCATGTAAACCTGGTGAATTCCAATAGGGTTAGAAACAAAAGCTCAGTTTACGAAACACATGCCAAAACTATGAGATCATGAGAGAGACTCACCAAATAATATCAACTAGTGGCTTCACCATACCGGTAAGCAAGCCAGCAAGATCATTGGTCAACTTCTCTACATCATGTGTCATTCTTTGGTCTGCATCCATACTCATACCCGAGATGTTGAATACCTGTAAGATAAGCTAGAAGTGCTCAGTTCTCGTGGAAAACATATACATTACGCTCCACACAATGCAAAATCTACCAAAATTTCAATTACGATGACCAATGCAAACTTCAGCTATCAAATATACAGTCAACTTATAAATATAAAACGACCTGGTCAATGTACAAAACTCGGTACCATGCCCTTGAATTGGCTCACCATATATTTTCAGTATCAACTTCCAGCAAAGTAAACAGCTCAAGAAGTGTTTACAAACAGATTAATCAGGTACTAAGTGCCAAATGCAGAATAAAAATGCAACAGTGTCAGACTGTCACATTCTCAAGACCCTGTTTATTCAATTACTCCAGATATACACATGGGACAAAAACAAGATAGTACCAGACTGAGGTTGTACAATGCATATAGACACACATGTGATAAGCTCAAATTAGAAGCACATGAACAACCAAACATAATTTGCAGATAGCCAGAATTCTATGCCAGTATCAAACGCTTGCTCATCCAAATTGATACATGATGTATAGATGACTGTATGCATGTCATGGAAAAGTACAAACAATAAAGGGAAAAAACACAGGCACATATAGTGCAATAAAAGCTCGGGTGAGTATTCAATGGGAGAATAGCTCACCTTGTAAAAAGCATTTCTTTTCAAATAATATCGAAGCAGATGGTTGGTCATGCGAATCCGCCATCCAAGGGCAATTCTTGAAGTAAGATTTCTGTAAAGAAATCAATTAATAAGATCATGGAACCGATTATAAAAACCAGTTAATTTCACAAGCAGTTTCATATGCGTGGAAGAATGATAGCTGGATTCATGCAGTGAAGATTCTATGAGGAACCAAATTTAGTATCTATAAAATACTTCAAATGAGTGGAACCAAAAATTACCTCAGTGAGGGTGACACAATGGAATTTGCTGCGCTTTGCAGCACACTGATGCCAGCCAAACGAATGAAGGCAGCTTTGTCCTGCTC